TGATCGCCTGCAAAGGGTCTTTGCGAATTTGAAGAAACATTCGAAGCGGTAGGCTGGGAACTACCACGAGTGAAAGGGCGAGGCTGACAACGACGTTTATCTTTGATTTTCCTCTCCGCGCGATACATCCTTTTCTCGTCGTCTGAGTCTGACGCCATCTCGACGCGTTAACAGTTGACTGAATCGCTTTGCTGATCGCTGCATCCATTACGGTCACACGACGTCTGCCGCGTCCAAGTAAAGTGAAGGTCCGCGCCTGTGGTCGATAAACTGAAAAAAGTTCTGTATGCGATGGCGTTCCCAATCCGAAGGATGAATACCAGTTAACCTCAGACTATATACCACTATGTAAATAACTTCACAAAAGAGACATACCAGAACGCGAGGACCACATTCCATACAGAACGTGCAAAAAACAAATATCTGCTAAACTTCGTAACGCAGATATTTAGATCTTCCAACCACTTGTTAGGATCAGTATCTTGGTTTAGTCAACTGACAGTAAGAACCCCGTGTGAAAGCTTTGAACTCTAAGATGAAACAAACAATATGATTGGTTAGATTACTTTGGCGCGCAGAGTTCTCGACATATACAACCCGAATGGTGATTGGTTGAAGTAGCGGAAAGGAATGTTGTTCGAATGTGAGCAGCCGTTTGTGGGGAGGAGCGTTGCGTGACGAGAATAAAAACGGCTGCAAGGGAGACTAATCAGTACCGGACTACCTCTAATTCTACTTCGTCATTGGTCTACGGCACTATGAAGTCACGTGAGATAGCGCGCGGTAAGCAAGCAATCAGTTGCGTTTCGGTTTTCAAGCTAACAGTCCAACGAAAGTTGGCCTCCCGTATACACATTTTATCTGACTCAATTCTCAAGATAATGACGGAAAGAGGTGAAAACGAACTCTTACAAGACGAAGACTTTGGTTCTGACGACCAACAACAAGATACAAACGCCCCAATACTGAGTATGATTTCTAGTTTAAGCCGAAATATGGCTGCTATTAGCGAATCGCTCAAACGCATTCATGTGGTGCCGACGACTCAGAAGCAGGAAAAAAGTCGTACCATTCGCCTGAATCAGGCATTTCAACTGATGTAATGAGCTCCTTAATGAAGGACAACCATAAGAAACTAGTAATGCGGAGGAATCTGCCGGGGAACATGATGTCTTAGACGATATCGCCCAATCACTGGACGAATCGAAGACNGTAAGAACCCCGTGTGAAAGCTTTGAACTCTAAGATGAAACAAACAATATGATTGGTTAGATTACTTTGGCGCGCAGAGTTCTCGACATATACAACCCGAATGGTGATTGGTTGAAGTAGCGGAAAGGAATGTTGTTCGAATGTGAGCAGCCGTTTGTGGGGAGGAGCGTTGCGTGACGAGAATAAAAACGGCTGCAAGGGAGACTAATCAGTACCGGACTACCTCTAATTCTACTTCGTCATTGGTCTACGGCACTATGAAGTCACGTGAGATAGCGCGCGGTAAGCGAGCAATCAGTTGCGTTTCGGTTTTCAAGCTAACAGTTCAACGAAAGTTGGCCTCCCGTTTACACATTTTATCTGACTCAATTCTCAAGATAATGACGGAAAAAGGTGAAAACGAACTCTTACAAGACGAAGACTTTGTTCTGACAACCAACAACAAGATACACACGCCCCAATATTGAATATGATGTCTAGTTTAAGCCGAAATATGGCTGCTATTAGCGAATCGCTCAAACGCATTCATGTGGTGCCGACGACTCAGAAGCAGGAAAAAAGTCGTACCATTCGCCTGAATCAGGCATTTCAACTGATGTAATGAGCTCCTTAATGAAGGACAACCATAAGAAACTAGTAATGCGGAGGAATCTGCCAGGGAACATGATGTCTTAGACGATATCGCTCAATCACTGGACGAATCGGAGAGACAGCCGAAGTCGTCTCGAAGAAATTGGCCAGAATCGCCGATAAAGCATGGTTACACAAACCTTCGGAAGACCAGATGAAAGAAAAAAGTCAGAAATATCACCGACCATCCAACTGCGCCAAGCTTATCACATTGCCTAAAGTGAATGAGGAAATTTGGTCAAAACTCCCACGAGTTAAGCTCGTGCATGGCAAAGACCTCAAACTTTCCCGCCTACAAACCACCACGTCGAAGGCGGTTTATACGCAATCGTCAAATCCACCGATTTACCGTTGAAACTAAAGACAAAAGTCGACCGAGAAATAGCTAAACAGCTTAACAACTTGGTT